TAAGTTATAGTTGCTATGAGACTCTCTCTAATTTTCTTTCATAATGGATTGGAAATTTTTATTGGAATCCAAGGGAGAAGTGTCTTATTTTGCTCATATTTACTTATTTTGTCTTTGTGATTGGAAGCATAGAAGGACAGTAAAAGTTCAGACAGCCTAGCAGGTACCTATCCTTCCGGTAATTTAAGCAGGCAAATATTTGGTGAATAAGAACTAAGTTGCATCCAAATGGCCCAAAGCATTTGAGCTGTGAGCCTGTGATTCAGAGCGAGTGTAAAGAAGGTCTTAGTTGGTCTACCTAAATAAGATTTTAGATAAAGTCCTTACAGAAGCACCATATTCTGTTTATCTGAAACAAAAGTTTACTCTTTAGAACTATTTGCTTCTTTTATGTTAGTTAATAAGTTACTCTTGTTTTTTTAAGAGGCAGAAACAAATATGCTGATTTATCCCTCAAAGATTAAAGTCTTAACAGACAATGCAGACTGATCATAAGTTTTTAAGTAGGACATCAGTGATCGCTTCAGGGCAAACAAGGAGAAGGAAACATAGTTTTCTGAGTGCCAGAGTTGGAAACTTGAATTTCAGAAAGTTAGCAATGTTTCCAAATCTTCCACATGGTGCTGTCTCATGTGACATTCCTTTCTTTCTGTGATAGCAATCAGTCCTGGTTATTGGGTTAACTTGAAGTCTAGAATAATGTTTACAAGATAACTTCTAGTCAGGAAAGAGCAGAGACTGATTAACACTTGCCAAAAGAAAGTAACATTTTAATTGCAACAGTCATAAAATCCATGTCAGTTGGGAGAGTGTTTTCATGAAAACTTTAGAGACTTTGGGTGCCTAATTACTGTGTCTGTACATAACCTGACACACACCAGCAACGGGACCTTGAGCGCCAGTCTCAGGAGCACATAGTACATGGGAGTGGGCTATGAGGAGGAAGAGAAGGGGGAGAGAGAACAGGAAGTTTTTTTGGCAGCGTATACTGTATCAAGTACTTTACTGGATTACATGCCATATCTTATTATCATGTGTAACTTGTAATATGATATAAAACATTATATGTTAGACCAACCCATGAAAATAATTCTGCTGCTTATGGACAAGTGGGCATACTTCTGCAATGAGTAACAGAAGTTCCATTTCTATAGAAAGTTCCCTGGTGTCAAATACTTTATTTGCTTTTACTCTCATTTCTAATGTCCTTGTGTGAAGCCTTCGTTGTGAAACTATACCAATTCACTTAAAATTATAGGAATGTATTAAATACACATCTATAGATTATATGTTTGTAGTGTTTCAAGACTTACTTATATTTAACAATTACTATGGATGAAGTGTGTATCCCCCAAAACATGTGTTGTATATGATTTCCTCTATTCCAGTGTTTATAATCACACTTTGGAACGGGATGTCCTTGTTATGTTGATAAAACAGGCCTAATGTAGGGTATGTCTTCAGCCATATGAGACTTAAAAGAGGTTAGAGAAGCAAATGAGAAGCAGAGATGGGAAAACGGATGTCAAGCACACGGAGATTTGTGAAAAATAAGGAAACAGAAGGTGAAAAGACAGATCCTTCCTCCAGAACTGATGAAAGAAAGTCGTCTCCTAGCGATGGCACTTTGACTTTGGAATTCTGGCCTGAAGATGAAGCAAAGAAATGTGCTTGTTAGAGCCCTCCACATAGGTATTTCTCTTAGAGCAGCGCTAGAGAACCAAGTGTTCACGAGAATACTGTGGTAATAGCTGCTACTGTGTGCACCGATGCAATAATTTATTCTATGAAAAAGTCTTTGAATTCATATGTGTGCATCTGGGTAGCAGCACATCTCTCTAACAGCCACTGAGACTTCCAAAAATGTATTAATTCTTGAACTAATACAGATTTCTTGATTCCATCAACAATCATTGTTTTTTAAAGTTTGAAGATTTGATCCCCCCCCCCTTTATGTTTGAATTTAATCTAAAGAAACCTAAGAAATGGCATCTAACTGCTTTATTGGTCATGCCTAAAGTGTTGTTTTAAAAAGTAGGTATAAATTTTGGACACAAATAAAGTAGGTCAATAGAAGTGCTAGTTTATTTTGAGATATTTAAAGCTGGAAATTTAAGAGCCAAAGTAAATTCCTATAAGTAGCTAAATTCCCAAGGCTCCATTGAGAATCTGCGCATCCTCCCAGAAGTA